TTCTTGTTTCTTTGTATGCCTTTTGATTTTTTTCTTTTTTGTAAGATTGGGCTTTTGAAAAAGTAGCCATTTTCCCCAGTCTTTGTTGACTGGCTCTGTGCTATGAAAGACCTGCACTAATTAGCAAGATGTGTCTGAGCTTTAGAGTCAGCCAGGGGCAAAGGCATAAGCTCTTTTCAGGACTTTTTCTGAGCATGTATCTTCCTTGGGCTTGTGTGCATACTATTTGCAATTCCCCCATACATGGCTGTTTTTAAATATCTTAATTTCCCGATATTACCTGAACTTCTTGGGCTTGAGTTGTTCTATTGTATCTTCCCCCACCCACCCATCCTCTTGCCCCAGTTATCTGCAATCACCCTGTGGCTTTCACAAGAAGCATCCACTGCTATTTTCTGTAGCTTTCCTCATCTGAGCTCCCAATCAGACAAAACAGAGACTTGTCCCTCAGGAACCCCAAGACAGGTTAGGATGTTGCCAAAAGGACTGCTCTCTCTGTTCCCTGCAGTTTGAGGGGAGGGACTAAGAGTTGGTGCTGCTGTTTTCAGATGGTTTCACATGGGGAGAAGTGGTGAAGGAATGAGTAAATAACCACAAAATTTCTTAACATCCTGAATGGTTTCTTGACTAGGCATTTGCTTGGTTCTGTAGATCTTTGACTCTTTTTCCAGAACTCTTAAAAAATATTTTAGCCAGTACCAATTTTTTAATTATTCCATGGAGGAACAAGGGACTCCTAATTACACCATCTGGCTAACGTCCTCTCCCATTGAAGGATTTTACTTTTCTTTAATTTTTATTTTATAGATTATGCTATTACAGTTGTCCCATTTTATTTCTCCCCTTTATTCCCCTCCACCCTATACTGCCCCACTCCCCAGAGTCTCCCCCACCCCAGTTCATGTCCATGGGTTGTACATATAAGGTCTTTGACATCTCCATTTCCTATACTATTCTTAACCTCCCCCTGCCTATTTTGTACCTACCATTTATGCTGCTTATTCCCTGTACCTTTTCCCCCATTCTTCCCCCTGCCTCTCCCCTTTGTTTCACTGTTGATAGTTTTTTATCTTTTTCTTAGGTAAGTCCCTTTAACATTTCATATAAGGGCTTGGTGATGATGAACTCCTTTAACTTTGACCTTATCTGAGAAGCACTTTATCTGCTCTTCCATTCTACATGATAGCTTTGCTGTATAGAGTAATCTTGGATGTAGGTCCTTGCTTCTCATGACTTTGAAAACTTCTTGCCAGCCCCTTCTTGCCTGCAAGGTTTCTTGTGAGAAATCAGCTGATAGTCTTACGGTAACTCCTTTGTAGGGAACTGTCTCCTTTTCTCTTACAGCTTTGAAATTCTCTCCTTATCTTTAATCTTGGGTAATGTAATTATGTGCGTTGGTGTGTGCTTCCTTGGGTCCAAATTCTTAGGGTCTCTCTGAGCTTCCTAGATCTCCTGGAAATCTTATTTCCTTTGCCAGATTGAGGAAGTTCTCCTTCATTACTTTTTCAAATAAGTTTTCAATTTCTTGCTCCTCCTCTTCTCCTTCTGGCACCCCTATGATTCAGATGTTGGATTGTTTAATATTGTCCCAGACATTTCTAAGCCTCTCCTCATTTTCTTGAATTCTTGTTTCTTCATTCTGTTCTGATTGAATATTCGTCTCTTCCTTCTTCTTCCAGTCATTGATTTGAGTCCCAGTTTCCTTCCCTTTATTCTTGGTTTCCTGTGTATTTTTCTTTGTTTCACTTTACATAGCCTTCACTTTTTCCTCCATTTGTGACCGTACTCAGCAATTTGGTGGGCATCCAGATTACCAATGTTTTGAACTGTGCATCTGATAGGTTCACTATCTGTTCATCGCTTAGTTCTATTTTGGGGGCTTTGATCTGTTCTTTCATTGGGGCCATATTTCTTTGTCTCAGTGCTCCTCTTACATTCAGAGGGGCAGAGCCTTAGGTATTCGCCAGGACGGGGCAACACAGGTCCCTGAGTTGCAACATTGTGTGTGGGGTAGGGGTCCAAGAGAGAACAATGGCACTTACTCAGCTCTCCGGGGGCTTTCAGTCACTTCCCCTGCTACCCACAAGCAAATCAGGTCCTTCTAGTGCTGATTCCTGGGCAGGTGGGTTTGTATATGTTCTAGGACCCCATGGGTCTCTCCAGCGGACTCTCCTGGGAGGCTGGACATTTCTCCTGCTGCCCCAACCCCCACTACTTTTTACCTCTAGAGGCTTTTGAGGCCTTCTTTTCCCACACTGCAACCCTCGATTGCACAGTCTGTCTCACTCCCCAGCTGTTCTTCTGGTTTATCCGCACACAAATGTGGGACCACCTGGTCCGCCAGCAGTCACCTCGCCTGCCTGATCCTCCAGCTGCCACTCTGCCACATGTCCTCTCCACCCCGGCTGCCTGTCTCCACCCCTCCTAGCGGTCTGGATGGATGTTTCGTCTTTAGCTCCTTGGTTGTCAGACTTCCATACAGTTCGATTTTCTGGCACTTCTGCTTATTTTTTGTTTTTAAATTTGTTGTCTTCTAATGATCCAATCAAAAAATGGGCAAAGGACCTGGGCAGATGCTTTTCCAAGGAGGAGATACAGAGGGCCCAGAGGCATTTGAAAGGATGCTCAGCATCACTAGCCATCAGAGAAATGCAGATCAAAACCACCATGAGGTACCACCTCACACCGGTCAGAGTGGCCATCATAAACAGATCCACAAACAACAGGTGCTGGTGAGGCTGTGGAGAAAAAGGGAACCCTAGTACACTGCTGGTGGGAATGCAGACTGGTGCAGCCACTGTGGAAAGCAGTGTGGAATTTCCTCACAAAGCTGAAAATAGAACTGCCTTTTGATCCAGGGATTCCCCTGCTGAGACTATACTCTAAGAATCCCCAAACAGCAATTCAAAAGAACCTATGCACCCCAATGTTCATAGCAGCACAATTTACAATAGCCAAGTGTTGGAAGCAACCTAAATGCCCATCAGTAGATGATTGGATCAAAAAACTATGGTACATTTACACAATGGAATACTACGCAGCAGAAAGAAAAAAAAGAACTACTAAACTTCATGACAGCATGAATGGAACTGTAGAGCATTATGCTAAGCGAAATAAGCCAGGGGGCGAAAGACAAATACCATATGATCTCACCTATAAGTGGAACCTAACGAACAATACAAAGATGCAAGGAAAATAAGACCAGCAACACTGAAAGAAAAAGAAACCAACAGAGACAAGAGGGAAGGAGGGAGCGGGGGCAGGGGAAAAGGAAGGGAAGGGGAAAGTCAAGGAACATATAGCAAGGATCATGGACAAAACCAAAGGGGAAGGATTGAGGGAGGGAGAGGGGGAGGGGGCAAGGGAAGGTGGTGGGGGGAAGGGAGAGACAAATGTATTTGAAAAAAATACATTAAAGAAAAGGGAAAAAATTTTTTAAATTTCAAAAAAAAAAGAATAAAGGAGGACTCTCTAACTTAACCCATATGCCCAAATAAACTCCAGCTGGGTAAAAAATTAAAAAAAGGAACTGTAACAGTTTTAGAAATAAAAAGCATGGGTCAATATATTTATAATCTTTCTAAATTAAATATAATAAATAGAAGCAGAAATAAATAAATAAATAAATAAATAAATAAATTTGTTGTCTTCTTTTGGTTGTGCCAGGAGGCAAAGTGTGTACCTATGCCTCCATCTTGGCCGCAAGTCTAAAGGATTTGAAACAGGGATTTTTTTATGTGTCTGGTGACAATATGGGAGATGGATGGGGTGGAGGAGGTATAGCCTTCCTCTGCTGTTCCAGGTCAGGGCCTGTGTTCCAGACCAGGCAGCAGAGGCACAAGACAGGCAAAGTCCTTCCCCTCAGGGTTGATAGCCTATAGGGGACATAGATCTTCAGGAACTAATTCCACAGACAGTGACGTCATGACAGATAATGATGGAGCTAAGGCAGAAGGGGATAGGCAGCTCAGAGAGAGCATAACAGAGGTGGAAGCTGTTGGGGGAATCAGAGAAGTTAGGGACAATAACATTTCAGCAGAGGTTTAAGGATGAGGACAAGGTTGGCTAGGTTGGCAGACAGGCATTCTAGGAATGCTTAACGATGTGTGCATAGGGTCTGAGGCAGGCAGGACCTGAGTTCTAGGGACAAAGGAAGTCACTAGGTTCTTAGAGCACCATGAACATGAGCAAAAGCGGAAGAGATGTGAAACTGCAGAAGCCGATAGGGGCCAGGCCTGGGCAGGAGGTACGACATGATTCTGAGAGCGGTGGGAAGCTCCAACATGCAGTGAAACCCTAGAGAAGCCCCAGATCAGGCAGGAGCAAGGGCTGGAGGGAGAGAGTTTTGGAGAGGAAAGTTTGCTCTTTGGCATCTGTCAAGAGAGCCTTTCCTGGAGGGTTATTTGTCCTGCCCTTAGCCCAAGTTTGGGTCATGCACCACTAGAGATGCCTTTCCCCTAGGCAGGGCCACAGAGGTAACCTTAATAGGTTTAAGTGGTGCCCTGAGAACATCCAGGTATGGATGGAGGGCTAGATCCCCCAAAAAGAGGGGCCATAGTAGGCCTGGACTTTGTACTGTCTACCAAGGACCACTTTTGTTCTATTTCTTCTCCACCCAGACAGCTTCAAGGTTGGCATGAAGGCCACTACTGTCTTGCCTCCTGCACTGATAGTCCTGGCCCCCATTTTCCTATCCCCAGGCAGCGCAGTCACACTCTCCTTCAGCACTCCTGCCCATTCCTGTCCCTGGTTCCAAGGGACATTATCTCCTGCTGAATTCCTGTAAAGCCAGCATTCAGTATCTGTGTCCTGTTCCGAGCACATCTCACATCTCTTTGTATCCTTGAAACAGCAGTATGACGTGGCTTTCCGGTGAGCAGCTGCACGTTACAGATGAGAACAGCAAAATGCAAGGAGGTAACTTGCCCGTGGTCACTTGCTGCTGCAGGCAGAGTCATTCCCTGCTTTCAACCTGGTACTTCCCTATCCCTTTCCTCTAGGAATTTCTACTCTACTTACTGTAACTGGCAGAGAATTATGAACAGATGGTGGACATTCCCCGAGGGTAAGGGAACCTTGAGAATGAGGCACCTTACTTCCTGTCCTTTGAAGCTTGACTTTCCTACATGGTTCTTTGCCCTAGGAGCTTCTAATAAAACTTGAACACATGCTTCCATTTGGGGGTGCATTGAACCAAAATTAATGGTGCTGAATTAATTTATTTTGCTACTCAGGAAGAGCTTTTATAGCCTTTGAGAGCACACAGGCATTATTTCCTCCTTGCCAGGAATATGCTACATGAATGAAAAGAGGTACCTGTTGTCAAATTTCCAGGGAAACAAGCAGTGTTTCTCTGATTTGTCTAGGCCACGCATTTCCCAAAAGACAGGATTTTAACTCTTTTTGAAAAGTAAATTACTATATGGGAGAAAAAGTGAGAATTGAAAGAATGGATTGGATGGAAAGAATAGAATGTTCCTGTTACCTTGTAAGGTTTTAGGCCATCACTTACACATAACTTTTTAAAACAGAACGAATCCAGAAGCTCTCTGGGGCAACACTTAGAGGGGAACATGCTTAGGCTGTGGATCTGTGCCCCAGCTCAGCACCGGCAGGACCTACAATCTTGAACAACTTATCTAGTCTTAAAAACCTCAGCTTTTCTTCTATAATATAGGGATCACACCTTCTAGAATCATTTTGAGGATCAAGTGAAGCTTCTGATTCACAGGAGAATATGCAGACCACTTTTTGGTTCAATGTTTTTGTCCTTGAGCACAGGGATTTCTGAGTCACCCAAGAACTTCATAGCCTAACATGTTTATCCTGTCTCTCCCTTTCTGTCAACAGCTGTGGCACAGTCCTCAGCAGAGAAATGAGAAAAATACCAAATAATGGGAACCTGAAGATGATGAAGGCGGCATACCCCCTGGGACTGTTCGTGTGCCTGTTCATCTATATTGCCTATATCAAGTGGCACTGGGTCTCCACCACTCAGGCCTTCTTCAGCATCACTGAGGCATCTGCAGGGGACCACAGGAGCCAGCAGACCCGAAATCCCCTGGGGATGACTACACATGGTCAAAAGATCTTCTATGGCATCATGTTTGATGCAGGAAGCACTGGCACCCGCATGCATATCTTTCAATTCACCTGGCAGCCTGGAGGTATCCTGCCTGGGACAGAAAGCCTTGGTGGTGCACTGTGTTTTTCTCCTTCTCTCCTAGGAGAGCTCTTGGAATCACCTCCCCTTAAAGATGGTTGTTTCTCAGGGTGTGGGCTAGATTCCTTGCCTTAGACTTACCCGGAAACTTGTCAAAAATGCAGTGTTCCAGTGATGCTGACTCAAAAATATGGGCTAGTGTTCAGGAATCTAAATCTCCAGGAATCCCAGAATGTTCTTGTGCTACTGTTTGGGGTTCCCAGCTAAGGGCAGCTGAGATCCCAGAAGATTTGGGGGCTTGCCTCTTCCCAGCATGCACAGGCAGGTCAGGTAGCTGGGACCATGACGTAGACCAGAGGTTGTGTTGGAGAATTTAAGGCAGGAAGTAACCCGAGATTCAGGACAGTGGAGCCAGGAGTCGAGGAAAGTCAGATAATTGAAAAGACCCAGGACCCAGGCCAAAACAGCTGCTAGTGGAGCCGGGCAGCAAGAGGATGATAAATAAGAGGGGTCTCAGCAGTGAGAGTGGAGCTGGGACCAGAGTCCTGTTTCCTTCCTAGGGTAGGGGCTTCAGGCAGGAGGGAGGGTGTGATTTTGGGCATCTTCACTTGCTGGCTTCTATAAGGAGACCCACATCACTGTCCAGCTCTCCACCTTGTTCTTCCTCCCTTTGATCTCCTTTCCCAGCATCTCTTTGTGCCTGTCTTCTCTGAGAGTCATTTCTCCAGCTTCCAGCCAGCATTTTTGTTGACTACTCAGCAGGCTCACTGGTCAAACTGGGGTCCCCTCCTCTCTGCTCTGGTTCTTTGCTGACCTTCATTCAGTGCCTTTTGAGTCCATGCCACTCTGTGCATTTAACTGAACTGGTGATGCCAGACACCTTGAATAGCTCCAAAGCCGTTGTGGCATATTTTACTTTTCATCTGCTTTGTTTTTAAACTTACTGCAAATTAAATATTTGTGTGCTGGACCTATCTACCTCCAAAAATGGTTTCAAAGCTAAGTTTAAGACAACACATGCCTGCATGTAATCCTTTAATAGCCATATTCTGTTGTTTTATCTTTGGAGAGAAGTCCTTACAAAAAGTTTTATTTCTGGTTTTTCCTCATAGGTCTTTGTGTCTGAATTCATACCAGCATCCCTTGGCTATTGTGTGCTCTGAACACTCGCCCTGCTGTATGCACTTGAGTCCAATCTCCTAATAATTTAAAACACTCAATTTTTTTTAAAAAGTAAAACAAATATTGTTTAGAACTCTATAAAGCATCCATCCCAGAATCAATTTCATATTTGCAGTTTCAAATCATCTTCCCTGTGCCTCTGTTTAATTAATTAGCAAAAATTAACTTTTAAATTTAACTTTAAACCCTGGCTGGTGTGCCTCAGTGGACTGAGTGCTGGCCTGTGAACCAAAGAGTCACTGGTTTGATTCCCAGTCAGGGCACATGCCTGGGTTGCGGGCCAGATCCCCACTACGGGGCGTGTGAGAGGCAACCACACATTGATGTTTCTCTCCCTCTTTCTCCCTCCCTTCCCCTCTCTAAAAATAGGTAACTAAAATCTTTTTTTCAAAAAGCCTTTAAAAAAATTTAACTGGAGTGTTTTATATGCAAATTATACTTGCATAAAGTTTTGGGGGTTTTGGGGGGGTTTTTAAGTAAAGTTCTGCCCTAGCTGAGTGGCTCAGTTGGTTGGAGTGTCATCCCATACACCAAAAAGTTGCACGTTTGATTCCTGGTCAGGGCAGCACCTAGGCTGTGAGTTTGATCCCTAGTCATGGTCCATACAAGAGGCAAACGATTGACGTTTCTCTCTCACATCAGTGTTTTTCTCTCTCTCCCTTTCTCTCTTTCTAAAATCAATAAACATATCCTTGGGTGAAGATAAAAAAAGTGTGGCTGCTCCTAGTTGCAGAGATTTATATATTTATGTATAGATTCATAGTTGTACCTTTTTTAAAATATGTCTTAGGTACTCCCACATTGACCCATGAAACCTTCAAAGCACTGCAGCCAGGTCTTTCTGCTTATGCTGATGACATTGAAAAGGTAGAAGTTTTCTCTTACGTCTTTTTTCATTGCACTTGTCTTCAAACTGTGTGATTTGTTAAAGTCAGCGTTTTTCCTCTTGAGGACAGTCGACCATCTTCACCTGGGACATTTCATATGTTTAGCATGGTCAGAAAATGGAGGAAACTGGTACAGCCCTCACTTCCCACTCTCCCACACACACACTCTGGCCATCCCAGGTACTTCCCAAAACCACACATGTTACCAGAAGTCTTGATGCATTTCAAAATCACTAATGCTACAAACTTACAAAAAAAATTATTTGAAAGCTTAATTTTTTTTTATTGTTTCAGTTCTTCTGATTCATCTTCAAAGATGAAAAACGTTGACCAAAACAAAAAATTAAAGTTAAAAATGTATTATGCAAAATCCACAAAGCGAAATAAGTGTAAAAGATTTAATTAAACTGTCAAATAATGATTCTTGGTAGTTTGTAGCATATAGACATTACAGTCTCCATCAAGTTCACCATGTAGCATATATACTTTATGGCCTCCACCAAATACACCATACTACAGGGCCTCCCAGTTGTCACAGAAATTATTCACCAACAGGGCTACAACACACAACTTGTTTTTCATCCCTGAAACTACAGTGTAGTCATGACTTCATACAGCTGTAGCTCCAGATGCATCTCATATCAAGCATTTACTTCTAAAGTCCTTAAAGCTTGCAGCTACAGTAATACAAGACACTTACATTTCCAATAAGGCTCTCATGAAACCAGTCACTAACAACTGTAACTTCCTTTTTTGGTTCAAGCATGTCTTAAATCAAAAGTTAATACGTCGTTCTTTTCAACAGATGCGTCCTGATCTCAGAGAGTGAAGTCATAGCCTTGCTCTGCTGTAGTTTGGTTAAAAAACATAATCAAAATTAGGGATTCTGGAGTGACCACAGGTTAAACCTGATTAAATGAGATACCTTTATAATAAGCTCTGAGTTTTAAAAATCTTACTTGTTTCACTGGGCAACACACATTCAAGTGAGATAAATTTCTCGGTGTCCTTAGTTTTTTACATATTTTTCCAGAGCAAGTTAACATGGATAGGAGCAAATATATCTGTATTCTTATCCTCTCCTTTTTCTTTTACACACAATGAAATGACATCACATTGTTGTGCACTTTGCTTTTGTCACTAAACGATATCACTTGGAGATTATTTACTATCAGTATGTAGAGAGCTTCTTTGATTTTTCTGGCTGGATGGTTTGCACTTACGCATGCACATTAATTTTATAAAACCAGTCCCCTCCTGAAAGACATTTAAATAATGGCTAATCTTTTGCTCTTAATAGTACAAGAAAGGCTGCAGTTTATCACATTACATTCACTTCATTACTCATGTGCAAAGACATCTCTTCAATGAATTCTTAAGAATGGAATTTCTTAGTAAAAGGGCTATATGTTTTCCTCTTGCACAGAAATTGCCAAATTGCCCAGATGGCGTTGTATCTATTGCATGCCTAGCAATATTTTACCAGAGTCTTTCCCCCACCCATCCCTGCAGACACAGGGATTTTTCCTGTATTTGGATTAAGCATTCCCTCAGGTGAAAATGATTTCTTAATGTTATTCACGGGGTTTGAGCACTATGACGGACCCAGAATTCACTCATGATGTTCGGGGGAGTCACAACTCATCTGATGTCACCAGGTGAGGGTTTTGTTGGCCAGGTGTGTAGAATAGGAGCCCGTCTCATGTGCCTTACCTTGTGATGTTCCACCAAGGACGTAATTCTGTGCCAACCTGGTCCTTATGCCCCACACTCCTGCCAGCACCACTTGAGTTGCTATTTTATGCTGATTTGGAAAATTAGGAAAAAAAATATAGTTGTAAGTTAATAAAACCAAAAGGGTGAGGGGAGCATCTGTGACTGTATGCTGAGCTTTGACAGACCCTATTTTACCACGTCCACAGAGCACTACAGGTATTCAAGAATTACTGGATGTTGCTAAACAAGAGATTCCTTTTGACTTCTGGAAGACTACCCGCTTAGTCCTCAAGGCCACAGCTGGTTTACGTCTGTTACCAGGAGAAAAGGCTCAGAATTTACTACAAAAGGTGATTTTATCCATTTTCTGTTTGGGGGTGGCTTGTAATAACTGAAAACATTACATATTCAGCCAGTGTCCAAGCAATCAGGCAGGCAGAAGCTTCCTGAAGAGGGAAACATTGAATTGTTAATAGTGAGTGAATGATATTTTCTTTCTCATGATGTTTAAAGCTATTTGTGCCTTCCAAAATAAATCTGTATAATAAGAACAATCTTACTTGAAAAATTTGTTGTGCTTTCGAAGGGCTTCATGTCATTCAAGGACATCTGTGTGTCAGACGCTATGGGGACTCAATTCCTGACGTTTCAGCTCAAGCCTGCTTGTTCTCATGGAAACCCAGTCTGATACTCAGATCCAACTACTGAGGAGGCCCTTTAGCCTCTTCCTGGCTCTCATGTGGCCAGGGTGTGTCCCCAGGCTCTGCACCACCCACCTTTAACAAGTTCTTGGAGGGCTGCTTTTCATTAGGCAAGTCAGGGAAGCTGTTCTAAGCAAAATGGTCCTCCTAAATCCTCTATTCTTTTCTAAACTAGCTGCTAAATAATGGATTGTTGCATACCTGTCAAAGTCCCTTGCAAAAATTACACACTCAAGTAGGATTGTGGGACACAAGTGCAGTTGTACTGAAGTTCATGTGTATCAATACTTGCTAAAAAAAAAATGGAGAAAGAAATACACACACGTAGAGTTGCTCACTGCCTTTGCCTCCCCACTGCCAGGTTGTCTCGTGGGACCCACTAGGCCACGCAGGGGTCCCAGGTCTGAGCTCTGCCTGCCAGGACCTCCTGCTTCATCTCCCATCCTAAAGCAGCGCAGCATTTTGGGGCCCAGAAGGGTCAGTGTGCTCTTCCAGTCCAGATTTCCGTAGCACAGGACTCTCTAGGGCAGCATCTGCCTCAGCTAGCCCAGGGAGAAGATGAATAAGGAAAGCACTTGCAGAGTATTAAAGAAGCTTAAAACAAAACCTGAGTTTTGTTACTTTGCAGCATCAGCTGATGCCTCTGGTGTTTCATAACCACCTGCTGAAAGCATAGCATGATTGGAAACTCTGAGTTTAGATTCTAAAGGATAAAGACATGTCTCTCTTTACATTTAGGTGCAAGATGTGTTTAAGGCATCACCTTTCCTTGTAGGGGATGACTGTGTTTCCATCATGAACGGAACAGATGAAGGTACAGTTGCCAGAGGCGTGCTGTGCAAGGAGGCTATCCCAGTGAGATGGGCTATGCCCAGGGCTGCTGGGAGCACTCTGAGCTCCCTTCTGGTTAGATGCATGGGTGAACAAGGACTGAGTGACTGTTCTATTCAGTTCACAGTTTAACTCTCTCAGAGGGTCTTCTTGGAACTAGTGTTATTTAGATTCTCATGATTACTGGCTCCAAAACTAGCACAGATAAAGTTTCTGAAAATAAACAATCTTTCAGTTTTAAGAACATTTAAAGAGAATGCCCAGTTTTCTACCATGTTGAGAATGTTGCCTTTTTAATCGTAAGAGACACTTAATAAGGTTCTTCACCAGCCCTGGTTTTAAAGATGGCCTTAAGAGTTTGTTTCTATGGGGGAGGAGGAGGGGAATGTTTGGTTGTCTTCCAGCCTCTTCCAAAAGAGGAAATTGATAAAAGAATAGGAGTGAGAGATGTGACATTTGGCAAGGTATTCTAGTTTTTTAGTATGGTATCTTCTAAAAACTACCTGCCAGAAGCCACAGGATGACCTTATGAATAAATCTTTTTTCTATATCTGATCTGAAGGCTGAGAGTAGTGAGGAGTTTGTGGTTCTGAAACCTAAAAGTAGTGCTCTGCATCCTGTATTTTGTTCACAGCACCTCAAGTGATTCAAATGCTGTTTTGTGACTCTCTCGTAGGCATTTCAGCCTGGATCACCATCAACTTTCTAACAGGTATGTTAACTGCATTGTGAGGGCTAACCGCAGTTCAGACTCCATTCTTGAGAGCAGGGACCACATTTCCACTCTTTAAAATACCCCCTCAGGGTTTCACGGTGTTCTGGCCCAAATGCATTGTTGGAATGGTTGGGGATGTCCACCTGGTTTGTGAGGGTGAGCATTGACGTCAAAGAGATAAGGGCTAGGGAAAAGGTGCTTCTCTGCAGTCCTGGGAAGGTTTCTACCAGCATAGCTCCACCCTCCGCCTGCAGCAGAGTCCAGCAGGGGCCCTGTCCTCATTTCTGAGAGAAGTCAGGACTAAAATTCGAATATTAAATGTGATGTAAATGCTAAGCACCTTATAATTGAATTCCTCTGCTGTGGGTAGAACAAGGAACAGGAGTTAACTTTTCTTAGATTAACTCAGTACATGAGGATTTTTGACCCTTTAATGTAATGACAGAAAATACCAGTGTGGCTGACACATGTATAAAAAAGTTTCTTGACCCCTTGGGAATGGAGAACCATGTTAAGTGACATCGGGAGCCTGAGCCTCAGAGCTATCTTGGAGCGTGTAGGAATATCAGAGATGTCAGTGTCTTGTGAGCAGTAGATATGACACGCCCAGCCACAGGTTAGTGTTGTCCTCTCATTCAAATAAAAGCCACAACTAGGGGAGCTATTGTTCATGACTCTGGTGCATCTTTACAGGGAGAGTTTCAAACAGATACTTCTCTGTTGTTTTTGTTTCTGCTGAAGGGCCTGGCTTCTAATCTCTCCTTTTTCTACTGTACTAATCTGTTTACAAATGTGACAGTGCTGGGCTGGTTTTTACTCCCTGTGCTCCAGGCAGTTTGAAATCCCCAGGAAGCAGCAGTGTGGGCATGCTGGATTTGGGCGGAGGGTCTACTCAGATCACCTTCCTTCCAAGAGTCGAGGTAACCAGCCCTCAAGGGACCCACCCTCCAAGCCTGTCCTATGGGGAGGCCTGTAGGTTTGGTAGTTCTGAGCCCATGCCATTGATACCTCTCCTGAGGGTCATATCCATTCAGTTAATGCTCCTTAGTTTGATTTTAATTCTGCCTGGAAAAAAATAGGAATTTGGTCTTTAGTGGGGTGATAAAATAGATATTACCTGGAACCCTTTAGGCCAGAATGCAAAATAGGCCCTCTCCTTCCCTCCCTGACAATACCTTCCTCACCCACCATTTTTTAATTATTATTTTTAGTTTTAAACAGAAAAGCATTTATGAAATTTACTCATTATTGTCTTGGCTGGGCCATATTTGTCAGAATATGTTACTCATATTTTCACTGAAGCCTAGTTTTTCACTTTATAGACATTTTATTTTACATTCTTGCTCCAATGGAAAGCTTAATTTGACTTAATGAAAAGCCATTTTATTTGCACTCTTCTTTTCTTTTTCTTTTTTGTATTTTTTTTCATTAGTATTTAGTCCCCAACCCCCAGCAATCTCCACATTGTTATTCATGTTTTGAGTCTTTTTTCTGAAAAGCTATTTTAAGTGAAACAACTCTGAATATCCCTGTTCTTTCAAGTGAATTGAGGGAATGGGGAACAGTTTTCTAGAAAGTTCAGCAGGAAAGGTAATAACCCTCATGTTCTTCCCCAGGACACCCTTCAGACCTCTCCACCTGGCTACCTGACATCACTGCAGATTTTTAATAGGACCTACAAGCTGTATTCCTACAGGTTTGTCTTCGGGAGTAAGGGTGGAAAGGTTGCCATGTAGGCACATAGTTTAGCTAGTACTGCTCAGTCTCCCCCTTGCCTCTCACTCCTGCCTTGTGGAGTGAACTACAGTATTCAAGTCACAGACCAGCTAGGTTCCAGATACCTCCTGCTGTGGACCTACCTAGACCGTCTTCCTCCTCCTCCCTGCTGCTCCTTCCTTTTCCTACCTTCTTCCTTCATTTTTCAGTTTCCCTACAGCAAAATAACACTTTTACTTTTATTCTTAATCTTAATTTGGAGGAGGTTTTTGAAGAAGTGGGAAAGAGCCTATGGATTGTGCAGGAATTTTCTGGCACTTCCAGTAGATTTCTTTCTGTAAAGCACATGTGCACCATAAAGATCAGGATGTCTTTATATGTCTGTTGTGTTCACCAGTGTCCACAGCTCCTAGGCAAACTCCTGTCAAGTAATAGGATTTCATTTGGTAAACCAATTAGCTGAATGCCCTGAACTCCACAAAGGGAGGCTTCTAGAAGAAGTAGAAAAGCCTGCTGCCTTTCCACAAGTTTCCTCCCTTTCCCACTTGTTTTGGATACAGGCCAGGTGAATGTATTGGAATTAGAGTTGAGGAAGGTAGCCAGCACTTCCTGTGGCAGGCTAGCCCATCACCCGGGATTTTCTTTCCACAGCTACCTGGGGCTTGGATTGATGTCAGCACGGCTGGCGATTCTGGGCGGTGCAGAGGGGAAGCCTGGTGAGTAGAACACAGTGCTGAGAGTTTTCCTTGCTCAGCAGGCATAAGGAGTCCTTTGGGAGAGGTGCCCCTTCTCCTTCCTGCACCTCCACCGACACAGCAACTTGCTGATCCCTGGCCTGCCTTCCCTGCCAGCAGGACTCAGGGAGCCTAGGAGGGACATGTATGGAAGAATGTACCCCAGATCTTGTCAGTGGCACTGAGATAGGGACACAAGCTAATGTGTTTTACCTGTGTATATTCCAAGTTATTTTTTACAAGAAATTGGTAAAGTCATTTCTGAAATACTGAGCTGGGGGATTTTACAGTCCCAAATAACTGTTGTCACCTGCATTTGGAGTCTGCTTATTTTTAAGGATTTGAAGAGAGAACCTTATTTTTCAAGGCAGTATGAGAGGGGGCACAGGAAATGTGATTCAAGCTGTTGCCATGGGGCTGGGGGACTTGTTCTCATATTCACAATGAATCTAGCCTTGTGAGAACGTCCCTTTGTCTTCTCTTGCTTTATCAGAAAACACAGGCTTGACTCTTCCTCCAGATCTGGTGTTGGACTAGAGACAAAGCCTGTGTCTGGTGAGGTTACTAAAGTCACGTTTACTCCCAGCTTTTCTGTCTCCTCTTGATGGGCCTAGCTGAGGAGAAGTCCGTCATTGGCTGAGAAGGTCTTAGGGATCACTGTGTCCTGATTCAGGAATGGTGGACATGGCTCTGAGGCTGGAATATTCTTCTCTATCCTGATGAGATCGGCTGGAGCCCCAAAGGCGTCTGGTCCAGAATTGTGCATGTGAGCCTGCTTGTGTTCTCCAGTCACACACCCTTCCCTTGGCCCTGCCACTTTGTGCCCCGTCTGTCTCACTCCCATATCAGCTCAGCACTTCTAACCACCTCTCCAAGGGCCTGGTTGTTCTGACATGGTAGGAATGTTCAATTGAAATTTTTGTTTTTCTATGTACATCTTATTTCCATTCACTTCTTTCAAATTTTGGTGTTTAACCTCATAATGATACTACATAGTAAACCAAAAATATGTCCACATCTCAGAAACACCTGTAACCTTCATTCTGGGTCCAGAAAACACCTATTTAGCCAATGAGAAGAAGGCAAGCACCAGTTTGCCCATCCATGGCTGGCATCAGAGTCCCCTCAGCTCCTGTACCCTACCCTCCAAGCAGAGCAGCTGAAAGGCCACTGGTCTTAACAGGCCACGCAAGTGCCTGATTGGGACAAGTGGGGCTGTGACACCCACCAAGGGGGGTATACCCCAGAGGATGAGTCTCCCTGTTGTGTTATCTGTTGTTGCACAACAGATGCATTACCCACCAAATTGAGTGGCTCCAAACAGCAGTCGCTTTATTGTTTTATCTCATGATTTCATAGGCTTCAGCTGAGTGACACCTCTACTAGACTCTCTGGGGCCCCATGTGGTGGCATTTAGGGTAGATGGGCTGCATGTTTGCACCCCAGTACTCCTCCACGTGGCCTGCAATTCTCCCCGGCAGCTCAGAGGAACGACCATCGTGTCTTATACCTTCTGTTGGTGAAAGCAGGCCCAGGGCAGGGAAAGGCACCTGCTTCCTGGTGGGGGATCAGCATGAACATCCTCAAGAGGTGGCATTGTGGGGCCAGCCTTGGAGGCCAATCACTACATTGCATTTGCTTCATATGGGGCCCCAGGTTTTTGTGGAGCGGCACAAATTTGTGGCATGGTAGCACTACGTGGCGTCCTCATGGCCCTGCCTCAGCCATCTATAAAATTGGGTAACAATGGCTCCTATTAGGGTCCTTGTCACAACTCACTGAACAGCACTCAGCCTGTGGCCTGGAACCCCAAAGCCCCTCAGTGAATAGAGCTGGGAGTGGCCATGTTTTCAGGGCAGATGAGGCTCTGCTGCAGCCTCTACGATAAAGGCTTTTCCTTCCACAGCTGACCTGAAACACTTCCACAAGTCAAGTCTCACCTTTAACTCTATGTGCCTTTAGTGCTAGCCTAAAATTCTCTGTCCTATAGGCCTCCCCTCAAGAGAACCATGTCTCTCAGCTCCATGCAATGCCCTGGCCTTACAGTGACAATATGCTTTTATTATCTTTTTATTTCAGTTGAGGATGGAAAGGAGTTGGTCAGCCCTTGTTTGTCTCCCAGTTTCAAAGGAGAGTGGGAACATGCTGAAATAACATACAGAATTTCAGGGCTGGAGGCAGGTACTGTGGATTTATCCTTCATCGGTGGTTTATAAGTGTTAAAAATGGCAGCCTGCTTTTTCCAAGGAGCTCTTAGATGCATGGAGACTGTCATCAAACCTCCCTTACAGACAAGCTTGTATCTGCCCATGAAATGGAAGCACTCTTTGAACCTCATCAGGACTCTGGGAAACCTTTGCCAGCCCACTGGGATCTGCCAACTTCCATGAGGTCTCTGCACAGGGCTTTCTTTTCTGTTGCTAACTACCTTTCTTCCAAAGGGCCAGATTTCCCACCAAGCCCTCAGCAAGAAAGGACCTGAACATCCCAAGTCTCAGCAATCAGCAATCTCATTTCTAAACAAAGGGATGAATGGCTTCTTATTCCTGGCCTTTCTCACCCCACATGTTCTTTCTTGCTTTCTGTACTGTTAGTGTCATCCAAAAGAAATATTGAAATATTTTTCTCAGGCCAGGCACATGAGCATAAGATTTGTCAGCCTTTTGTGATAGTTGTTTCTAATCTTCTGACACCAAATGTGTGGATTTTCTACACCAACCAGCTCTCCAAGTAATTGATTAAATCATCACCCATTTGTTATTAATTCAATCCTTAGTTCCTCATCCCTCTTCCCTGGATGTTGGGGTTGGGAAGTTCCAACCCTCATATCACGTGATAGCTTCCTCTAACAACCATCTGTCATCCCGTATCTATCTAGGAACCTACCAGGAGTCACCTCAGTATAAGCTAAGGTCTGCTTGAAAGGAGCTTATTATGAATAGCAGAAGATGTCCCTCTCACCCCCATCACTTAGGATCTTACAAGGGATTTAAGAGCTTTGTATCAGAAACCAGGAACAAAGACCAAATGCGTTTTTTATTATCCACTGACCATGTGCAGATCACTGACAACCACTTGTGCATATGCTGTTTGTCAGGCCCTGCTACAGCCACTGGGCTCACAGCAGCAGTGCACGTTGCAGACTAGATCTGTGTCCAGGTGGAGTGGGAGTAGTCAGATGATAAAACACATGAGAAAGTACTTTGAAGAAAAATAAAATAGGAGGAGATGGGATGCTGAGGGAGAGATTGCAGTATTAGATAGGACAACCAGAGAATATTTGAGATCTGATATGAAGAGATTCAGAATGAGCCACACAGATCTAAAGCTGTGGGAGTAAAGGCCCTGAGGCAGCTGCTGTGTTCAAGGAACAAAGAGGAGCTAATGTTACTGGTCAGACAAAGGAGAGTGGAGGGAAATGAAGTCTGAAGAGCAAGAGGTGGTTCCCTGGGCCACAGAGAGAATTAGATAGAGCCACCCTTAGATGGTAGACCAGGCTTTGGAGAAGGAACATGGGAAACTGATCCAGGCATGGGCTATAGGACATCCAGTCCCTTAACTCTGAGTCCTGTGTTCTTCCATGCAAGACATTAATGGCCAGCCCTGTAAGCTTGCCAAGCTGCCTATTTTGCCTCAGTTTCCTCATCTGTGACATAAAGAGAATACAGGCCTCACCTTCCAGGTGGCTGATAAGTTGGAGTAATAATGTTCAATTGCATGTTCAGAGTTCAGCACAGGGCTGGCAGAGGGTGAATGTAGACGGTAAATAATACAAACTTGAGCCCATTGGACTACATGAGGACAGCTGCATGGACCCAGCTAGAAGCTGGTATCCTACAGAGTTAGGGACCATGCTATGCTCTCCAGCCACCTTTTCGGTTCTCAGTTTCCCTCCCTTGATCGATGCCATGGCTCCTGAGAGGTACTGTTGATGTGTGTGGTGCTAGTGAGCACCTGACTTGGGGTGGGGTCTGTGCATGCTTCTGGACCCATTGCACCCTACAGGTCAGGGTCTCAGGTCCTTGGAAAAGGACCTCTGGGTCGTTGGCTTGGGTGCTTGACACCCACTGACTGCTGGCCCTGCTTTTCCTTCACCCAGCAGAGAACCTGCACCAGCTGTGTGCCCATAGAGTATCGGAGGTCCTCCAGAACAAAGTGCACAGCACAGAGGAAGTGAAGGATGTGGAGTTTTATGCTTTTTCCTACTATTATGACCTCGCAGTAAATGTTGGCCTCATAGGTAAGTGTGGGCTGGGCCAGGAACTTGGGTGTCAACTCCCAGGCAAGGGCTTCTGTCAGGGAGCAGCTCTTCCGTCAGTCAGCTCAGGATGGAAGAAGTGGACTGACTCAGTAGGGTAGGCATCTTGGCATTGAATAGGAGGTAGGTAATAAGCCCCCTTTTTAATAAATAAATCAGTCTTTGAGCCACTTAGTAAAGTACGCTGTTCGTGCAAGAGCAGTCACTTGCTGTTGATTCAGTCATCTTCTCAGAGGCAAGACTGACTTGTGTAACTGAGGTCTTCGCCCTCCTGCCTTGGTTCATGAGTCTCTGGCTGATGGAGCCATTTGTGATGTAGCCAAGCAGCCATCTGTCCCCAGCCGGGTTGGGTTGGGATGAGGAAGGGTCAGCTGACTCCACTGGTCACCCTAAGGAACTTTTAGGGTCTCTCTGACTACTTCACAAGCCAGAGTGCAGTCAGGACAGGAGGTGACATTTGGAATTTGTGAAGGCTGGAGGTGTTCAGACTGACGGTGGAAACTCTTGAGGGTTTGAAGTCACTTCATTGGGTCGTGACCAGTAATTTTGTTAATGAAACAATTGAGATATTCAGAATGCATTGCCTATGGTAAAGATAAGAGCATTAATGTAAGTAAAAAGCTGTCCAGAAGAAACGGTGATGTCAGGTTCTATCTCCCAGGGACCTGAGATCTCCAGCCAAGTCTCAACTCTCACTAAGCCTCCCTTTGTCAGGGCCCACTGTAGAAGGCAGCTAATGGGGCCAGGGTTGAGTGCTTGGAGGGGGCTGTCCTCTCTTTCATCCCTCTTTCAGACACAGGTCCCTCTCTGGTACAGAACAAGATCCTTGGGCTGCCCCCCGCAGCCATCCTCATGGTTTTAATACCTTAGGGGACCTTTCAGTCTCTACCTAACTGGAGCAAGAACACATTAATGCTCACTTCCTAACTATGCTGCCATCTGTGGACATTGCAATGCCTAGGGTCCACCCTGGCAGCCTGCTGGGCACCCCACCCTAGCATCCCCTTGTCAGTCTGAGACCCCCTCACCCTGACTGCAGGCTGTCCATTTTCTAGGGTTCTGACATCTTTCCAGGTGATCATAGGAGATACTGGGTGTTCAGGAATGCTCTTCTAACTCCCTCTTGCGGTCACAAGTGTCTCTGAAAGAATTGCTTGGATCTGCATTCAGAAATGGGATTCCCCTTTAGCAAACACCCAAAGTCAGGAAGTCAGGAGATTTTTTTTTTCCAACACATTGGGCAGCTGCCTCATACCAGACATAAAAGTGGGGGACATCTGAGAACCATCTATTGAACATGAAGATTTGGGGGGACATCGAAGAAACCAGTTGCTCTCCCTGAAAGTTGGGGACACAGCTCTTGGTGCCTTCGGCCCAGGGAATGGCACAGAGGCCTGGGGCTGCACCCTCCTGGAGAGCCCCATCAAGGCTCTGCCCATGTGTTCTAAGACCTAAAAAAGAGCTTTTTTTTTTCCTTTATTTTTTTTTTTTAAAGCAGAATTTTCTTTTTCACACTCAGGAAACTGATACCAGAATATCATTGCTGAGCTCGGGGCCGTAGCCTTGGGAAACCGTTCCACTTACTTTTCTTCACTTAAGATTAAAGTTAAAATTTGGGGTCCAGGGATCCTGATGAGCTTCCTGTGGCAGCCCCTATAAGATTCCTGATGTGCCAGCCATCTCCATGTGGTCCTTTATGGAACGCCTGCCTACCCCAAGCCATGCCAGGCACCTCAGAAACCATGGTCAGTGTGTGTGGGGCCACTGCCCTGCTTACAGCCAGGCTTGCAGCCAGCCCTTAAACAAGCCCTATGCCGCTCCAGTCTCCCCAGGTGCCAGCCTCAGAGCCTCAGGCATGAGACTCCTGTAGTGGTGGTACAGACTGCACACTTGGTCTTGTCTCACAGATGCGGAGAAAGGAGGCAGCCTAGTCGTCGGAGACTTTGAGATTGCAGCCAAGTACGGTGAGTGGCTACTGCACTTACCTGAGTGAGGCAGGGACACTGTCCCAGCCATGACAGACATGCTGTGGTGCTTGTGACATAGGCAGTGGCACCAGAATCCCTGGATTTACTTGTTGATTTTGTCAACCAGATGAGCATTGAGAGGTGTGAGGGTATGGAGTTGAGAGTATACTTGGAGTCACCATGCTGGTTCCAGACCATGGGTTCAGATCCTGTGTGGCAATAGGTGGCAGGGAAGGGGGCCATCTCTGTCCCGAACTGTAAAAACTCCTTGGGTTATAAGGAATGGACTCCCTTGATTTCACTTTTCCTGATGTCTTTTCACAGTGACTCAGATTAACCCTAAGAGTGATTTCCCCTGAAAGTATCCCAGTAAATTCAAAATTGGCATCGGAACCTGAAGGAGCCAGGGACCCCTGCACAGCAGAACCTGGCATATGGGGGATGAAGAACTTTTCCCTCGAGAGATCATAGGTGGCTGGCCCTGCGGCCCTGAGTTGTTCCTTTTTCTCATGATCTTACACTCACCCCAGCCAAACAGGATATGAAGTGAAGGCTTGTCATAGATTTTTTGGTCTTTGGTTGCCATTCCCATTGCAGGTTGAAAGAGTTAACTTTTGTATGTTTCTCCAAAAGAAGTCCTTCCTCACCCCCAAAAATGTCTTCTAAGCTTTCTTGTTACTCTTGGGTTTGTCTTATGGACACTGGGTGTCCATAACTCTTCAACAGGAAAAAGTACTTAGCAGAATTCTGGAAAGACTGTCGGTGGGTTTATCCATCCCCCTGAGAATAAGAGTGGACCGTTCTGAATCACCTTTGATGGTGTTTTCATTCCGCAGAAAGCCAAGGTCTGTACCTAGGAGAGACATCTAGGGTCGGTGCAGAGATGAGGCCTTCCACCCATGACACACAGACGGGCGATCCAGCCCTGTGGAAACTGGGCTGGCCTCCAGGCCCTCCCTCTAGATATGCTCTTGGTGGGTCACTGTCCTGTTCTGAGCTGCAGGCTTGTGTAAATCAGCAGTGAGGACCTGGGGCTAGCACAGAGCCTGGTGCAGAGTGGCTGCCTGGAATGGGTGGAGTCAGGTCTGCATGCACCTATCCCCCACCCTTTGGGAGTGAACCACTGGGAACTGGCTGTCTCACCCCCAGTGTGCCGGACAGCAGAGACACAACCACAGAGCAACCCCTTCACATGCATGGATCTCACCTACATCAGCTTGTTGCTTCAAGAGTTTGGCTTCCCGGGAAACAAAGTGCTAAAGGTAAGGACTTGTCTTTGGGTGCGCCTGTGCTCTTCATTGCCTGAGGGGTTAGAACACTGCCTCCTGCCTCCCTGACCAGGCTGCCTTTAACCGCTGTGCATGGTCCCCTCTTCCCTTCCCTTTTGTCTTTTCCAGCTGACTCAGAAAATCAACAATGTTGAGACCAGCTGGGCTCTGGGAGCCATTTTGCATTATATTGATTCTCTGAGTGGACAGAAGAGTAGGACCTCGTAGTGGCTGAGCTGCCCAGGGTCCTCACAGCAGTGGCTCTGTCTCTGCAAGAACAGACCCTTTGGAATCCTTTGACGTGTTGGGAGGAGGCCACAGCTCAGGCTGAGACTCCTCCTCTCTACAGCCTTGCAGACCTGCCCCTGGAGGGACAGAGGACTGGAACTTAGTCCAGGCCGAACACTTCCTTCGAACTGCCTCAGCTCCAGGTGGGCAGTGAATCAGACAGAGAAAGGGTACCTGCCAAGACCAGGATGATGTAGTTGCACTATAACCACTGCCCAATCTGTAGGGTTTAGCAGCTGTGATATTTATCCCTGTGACTGGAGTCTTGTTTTATGTACCTGCCCCTATCTACCCCCACTTCCCCAAGGCAGACCTCCACTTTCTCCCCCAGAATTAGTGGGGAGGTTGTGCAGGTTGTCTTGGTAGCTCTCAAGCCAAGTTGGAACCATCATGCCCTCTGAGACAGAGACTGTGGGTTGGGCAGGACACTGTGAACTCTGGACTTAAACATGTTTGTTCCTCCTTGGGTGTGGACATGTGAAGTCATACAGAGGCCTCTTTCCTTAGTCCTTGGATGGCTTATGGTTAACCGATAGAGTTGACATTATGAATAGATGGAGGGGCTAGGGGAAGTACCTCTTCATGGCCCTCATGTGCCCCAGCTCTTCAAGGAAGGCTGAATATGAGCGTGAACTGCAGTAAAAATATTTGTGGCTATGCTGTGTGAGTCATGTGTCTGTTGTGGAGTGCTGAGCGCTTATGTGGCCACTGTGTTCCGAGCCCCAGTGAATGTTGCTGTCATGAACCATGTACAGCCAAACAGTGTGAGGAGACACAAGCCCCCGTGAGTCATTCAGCTCTGCAGTCTCCAGAACTGCCCTCTTGAAACTGTTCTCTTGTGGCTCTTCCTTCTCAAGCTCCACAGGACACTGACTCAGCCTTCTAGTGTCTGCAGTGCAAGTGTGATCCCAGGTTCACAGTTGTTCTCTGGTGAATGTAGTGTACACGAGATAACCGAATCTCTTGTGTTCCACTCATAATAAAGGTTTAGCAATTACCAAGAGTTACTGCTCCTCTGTGATTCCTCTCGGTGAATATCAGCAACAGTCACTCCTAACACCGGCAGAAGGACCTAAAAGGTAACGATCAGTAAGTGAGGTGATAAAGGGCCCCACTCAGCTCTACATCTGGAGGCTTTCAAACCCCAAACTATGTGCCACATTGCCTCCAAAGTTAGTGTGTCTCCAGACAAATTTTTCCTCCTCACATCAGACCTTTAAACACAGCTGTTTATCAAAAGCAGTTCTCTCCACTAAAGAATCATCACGGTAATAATGAACTTTATAATACTTGGAAAAATAGTTACATAGTCAAGAGAAATAAAAACTAGCTCCAGGCCTTTATCATTTTGAAAGTCTCTGATCCTCACTTCTCTGTGTTAATTGATTGTTGGATAAAGTTTTTCATGTAAGAGTTTAAGTACAGCCCTCTAAGTCTTAGTGTCTATCTCAAGAGTCACATGGTTTAGGAGCAGACGTTCCCCTTAAAACCTCCTATCTTGAAAAGCCTCCCTGAAGGTCAGAAGAGTCTTAAGGCTGCATTTCTGTAGCACAGACCATAACTTCAGAGGCATGAGGTGCTCAACAGATATGGCTGCATGGTTCCTCCAGACCCACCCAGTGGATAGCTTAGGATCAAATGGTTTTGAAAATCAGTAGGCCAAAGCTCAGAAGCCTGCAAAGACTTGTACTAAAGCAACAAGGAGAAATGGGAATATAAACCAGGTTTTTCATCTTTCTGGAGATGAAGAGATCTCAAAGGATTTTTTAAAAATGACTTCATACATTGGAATATTATTTTGGAATAAAAAGGAATGAAATACTCACACATGCTACAACATAGATGAACCTTGAAAACATTAAACTAAATGAAAGAAGCTGGATACAAAACATCATATTGCATGATTACATTTATATGAGGTACTCAGAACAGGCAAATGTAGAGACAGAAAGTGGATTGGTGGTTCCCAGGTGCTGGGTGAGAGAATTGGGAGTAAGTGCTAATTAGATGGGATGCAGTGTTTTTAAGGGGGAAATGAGACAGTTCTAAACTTAGATTATGGTGATGGTTATACAACTATGTAAATATATGAAAAATCATTGAATCATACACTTTCAGTTGGTAAACTTATGGTGTGTAAGTTACATCTCAATAAGACAATTTTAAAACTGAAGACTGGAATTCCAGGGAGGCAGTAGCCTGAAACAGTAGGTTGCCATCTTATTTTGTTCCAGTCTGAAATAATGTAATCTTTTCTTCGTTTTCAACCCATAGACTTTTTCAGTCTTGTGGTCTCCCCAGAGACCTGCGGGCTGAGAGAAGTTTCCCTCCCTGAGGGAGGAGTCAGCTCTGTGCCTTCCAGGTTAACCCCTGGGTCCTGCAGGTACTGGGTGCATGGGGAGGGGCCCTCAACTACCTATCAAATAATGAGCTGTCTAAAAAAAAAGGAAAACCAAAAGTCCTGGGAGTGGGGACACTGACCTTGCCCCCAACCCCCTGAATTTTCACATATTTTATCAATAAGTGTGCTTGGTCAGGACTCCACCTAAGCCAAGCAGTGAAGTTAAGGGTTACACAAAGCAAATAGGCTTTGTTCAAGAAGCCACCCTGAACCTCCTTCATGGATGGATGCAAGGGCCTTGATGTTGCTTCCTGAAAACAGATTAGCAAAGGCTGCCTGTTTTATGGAGGCTATGTCTACTACTTTAGATTTCTCTGGCTTTCTTGCTTCTGACTTTGTCACTTTTTTTTTTAAGATAGATTTATTTATTTACTTATTTTTAGAGAGAGAGGTACGGAAGCAGAAAGAGAGGGAAAGAAACATGGATGCTTATATCGCATTCCCCCAACTGGAGACCTGCCCCATGCCTCAGGCACATGCCCCAACCCAGGAATTGAACCAGCGACCTTTCAGTTCGCAGGTTGGCATTCAATCCACTGAGGCATACCAGTCAGGGCTGACCTAGTGACTTTTTAAAGAATATTTTTATTGAGGTACTTTCCTAAGGAACAATGCACAGTTCAAGTATATAATTCAAACAAATTTAACAAATAAACCATGTGGCCCACACCCCTATTCTGTCATCCCAGAAAGTCCCTGGACAGTCCCCTGACCCTTGGCCTTGGCAACCACTCCTCTGATTTCCATCACAGCACATTGCTTTGCCAGCTGTGGAATTTCAAATAAATGGAATCACAGTATGTGCTCTCTTGTACCTGGCTGTCAGCATAATGTTTGTGAGAGCCACGCATGTTAAAATGCATATTAGTAATAGTACGGTATTTTGACATACTATGCATTGTTTAAGCATTTTCCTACAGATGGGGCTTTCAAATTTCCATTTTGGAGCTTTAATGACAAGTCTTCTGTGAACATTTTTTGCACAAGCCTTTTTTGAACATTTGTTTTTATTTCTCTTGGATAAATACCTAAAGGTGCAAGGGCTGGGTCAGATGGTAAGTGCATGTTTAACAATTTTAGAAGAATCTGCCAAAATGTTTTCCAATATGGCCATTGCATTTTACACTCCCATCAGCAATGCCTCACATCCTCACCAACATTTGGTCATGTCAGTTATTTTAATCTTAACCATTCAAACAGCTGAGTACCAGCACTCCATTGTGATATTAACATGCATTTCCCTGATGTGATCTAGGGAATTTAAGAAGAGGCTTCAAGAATCCTCCTGTCTAGGCCAGCCACTTTCCCATCCCCCAGTCTACCTTTGCCTGGCATGGTGCACATAGAAGCAGTGGGATCTACTTTATTCATTGTACACTCCTGGAACCTGTGAATGTGAGGCAGTGCTGGGCACACAGGAGCCCCTCCCTAAGGAGTGCACACTCCAGGTCAGGGCCGCAGACTGTAAAGGCCAGAGAGTAAACACTTGAGGATTTGCAGGCCACACAGTCCCTTTTCACAATGCTCACTGCAGTGGACATGTGAAGGCAGCATAGACAAAAAGTAAACCAGTGAGTATCGCTGTGTTTCAATCACACTTGATTTATGAACACTGAAATGTGAACTTCATATAATTTTCACATGTTATGAATTATTACTCATCTCTTTTATTTTTTGTCAATCATTAAAAATGTAAAAAGTATTCCTAGCTTGAGTGCCATACGAAAACAGGGCCACATTGGGCTGAGGCCTCAGTTTGCTGCCCCTGATCTAGGTAAGTGAAGGCAGCAAGCTCAGGTGCAGTTCTAAGCCAGCAGTCAAGAACTTAACATGACCTCCAGTAACTACCTGAAGGTGAGGGACTGGATGTCTCCCACTGAAGAGGACAGAAGAGGGCCAGAACCAGGTTGAGAAGGCTAGCTTTGTGTCCCTACAACCTCTCACATCCCTACAGATAGCTCTGAGTGTCACAAATGTGGGGCTTCTTCCCTACCCACCATTTCCCTCTGCCCCAGCCCTCTCACTGACCTCAGCTCTGACCTCTCCATCTTGTGCCTGGTCCCTTTTGAATTAACATGTCAGAGTGTCCATCCATTGTTGCTTGCCACCTCTTCAGTGCCCTTTGCCCAGCCCAAGGACTAGCCAGGGAGGGGCTGAGATTGGCTCAGGAAGCTTGCCTGGTTGGGTGGTGGTTTAAAAGGACAGTTCTGGGCTCAACCCTCTAATCTATGGTCTATGCAAGATGGTTCTAGAGAGCATTCAAGAGGCAGAGGAGTCCGTAAGGAAACCCCCATAGCACTCCCAGCCAGAGGGCCCAAAGGAGCAGCTGAGAATGAACAAAGGGGAGACTAGACCCACAGGAAACAAAGGACTGGAGTACCCACTCTTGGGAAAGCCCTTCGGAGCTTAGGGGAGAAGGCGGGTCCACTTGGCCTGTGTGTCATTGGCACCTAATCTGGGAGCAGTGAGGAAGCCACTGACCTAAAGAAGATGTGGAGCCCTGTGGGATGTGCAGGATGGGCACAGGGTAACCTGGGGTAGAAGATGGTAGAAGGCCATGCATGGCTACGCAGTGCAACCCCAGTCCACCCCAAGTCTGTGGTTCACCATACCCACAGGTACCCCCGACTCATGGTGACTCCTAAATGTTCACATGATGGACTTTCACTTGTTCATACTGCACAGCAGTAAAGAGCTTTTCCAGACCCTGCAGACTCACAGCTTCCCCCAAGTTGTATCTGCCATTCAGGTCCCACCTACATCCTTAGATCTACCTATCCTAGAACCTCATGTAAACTGAATCCTACAGGGTTTGCTCTCCGATGTCTTACCAGCATCACTGTATCTGCATTGTTGGCTATTGCTGATCATTCTCATGGCTGCAGACTTCCACTGTGGGAATATGCTACAGTGTATTTATCCACTCTAGTGCTGATGGGCATTTTCATGGTTTCCAGTTGGGGACTGTTTTCAATAGGGCTGTTACAAACATTTTTGTACATGACTTTTGGTCATCATAAGCGTTCATTTCTGTGCAGTGCTTTCTGTGGCGTACAATTGCTGGGTCAGAGGTAGGTGTTTCACTTTAGTGAATACTGCCAGTTTTTCATAGTGGTTGTACCAACTTATGAGGACTCTTGTAAAAACTACAGAGGCCAAGATGAGACTAGGGTCACTGAGAGAAGGACTAAAGCTTGGGACCCAAAAGATGACCCTGAGCAACACCGGGTGTGATGTCAGTGAGTGTAGACGTGGGCTTGCTGGTGAGAATGAGCAAGGGGAGCCCCAGCCCAGGGCCTGCATGTAGAAACCAGGTGACCCTGGCTTTGGGAAGGAGGGAGGACAAGAGAAAAAGAGGTGCTGAGCACAGTCCCATGGTGCAGAGAGAAAGAGAGATGCTAGCAAGAGGGTGGGTCACAGGTCCCAGACCTCATTCTCATCTCTGCATGATGAAAAACTACTCATTCATCCAGGAGTAAACAGTAAGAAATTGTCATATAGCAAGTCTCAGGAGATACCAATTAAAAAACAAAGTATTTGATGTAATTATAGTGTGGCATACCAGGTTCTGCAAAAAGGTATTGATTGTCCCTAAAGGCCCTGGGGAAATCTCACTGGGCGTTACAGCACAGTCTAGAAACTCCAAGTCAGAAGAGAGTTGGAGGGACACTTTAGTCTAACATGGCTGCCTTGAGGAACTGTTCTGCGCAGGATTCTGCAGCAGGAAGTAAGAAAAATTACAAGTTCTTCAAAACCTCTTTCAGTAATCTTGTCATTAAAACTTCTCTCCAGTGCTTATGCCTCAAGGTCTTGCCTCTTACTGTGTAGTCCCAGGACCTGGGGGCTTGTTTGAAATGCAGACTT